CATTAATAATGCATTTACCCCCCTCCCCAAAAGAAGAAAAGACTATTTTAGCGAGCTTTTGAAAGTCAAAAGCAACAAAAGAAACAAAGAGCCATTGTGTATTTACAAAATTAACCAGCCCTGTCATTGTGGCACAGAGTGAGTCATTTTTGAAGACTGAAAAGTCACAGAAAGTGGCAATTTCATTCTAATTTCATTCCAATCGGTTTCTGAAACAATTGCAGCAGGCATGTGATGTGTTTATCTCAACGTGTAGTGGGCTATTGTTCATCTGTGAAAAGTTTTCATCATCGAGCTAGGAGATGGTGAAGGGAGGAAAGGAGGAAAATAGCTTTAGGGCTTCTTGAAGCTTTTCAGCCTCTGTGGTGCATAGAAATCAAAAGATAAATTTGACATTCAACGCTTTCCAAAAATTAATTCAATATAATTTAGGAAAAGTTTACTACATTAAGCAATTTACAAAAGATTTACATTTATTTGTGAATGTTTCATAGTATAGCATTCCCGGAACACCTTACACCAACAGTGAAAAGACATCTTAGACCCAACCTAATTTTTGAAAAAATGTACCACATTGCACATCTTAATTAAATAAAAATGCATATTAAATAAAACATTACTTCATTAAAATGAACTAAACACAAAGGATAACTTTATTTAACGAATTTAACACAAAGAACAACTTTATTAAATAAAGCGCATTAAATACAAACGAAAACCTAGTAAATGAAAACAGATTTAACACAGGACATAACTTTATTAGTTTAAATGAATTTAATATTAATAATTAATGTGGAAATGAGGGATTTCAAATTAAAGTTTGAAAATTAAAGTTTTTTATTTCTTTTTATCTAATCATAATTCTCAGTATTGTTGATTTTAACAAATTCATTGAATTTAAATGCTGATTTGTGACAAATCTTAGATTATTTGTGGAGAACATGGGTTGGTGTTTTGTGGCTTTGTTGTGAAGGTTTTGGCTCTGAACATCCCGTTCTCATGTAAGACACTCAGATCATATAAACCTGGTCACTATGGCAACAACTATTTTAGCCTTGAGAAACTGCAGAAATGTGAATCACCTTTTCTTGAGGCTCTGGACTGATGGAACTATGATGAATATTCACACGGCCATCAAACCTCCACATGATCAAAGAATGTCTCTCTCTCTCTCTCTCCATCCTGACAGCAGTGTCATCTCCAGCTCATTCAGCTGTGTATACTTGTCGCTCTATGGGACGTCCCATGGGTCTGGATTAGGCCTCAGCTCTGGGAAAAGCAGATCATTAACTTCTCCAGATCAGCTTGAGTGCTGAATGACTCCAGAGGTTCACTTGTTTCAGCCTGTCTTCTGCTATTGACATGACTTGATATTCTCTATGTAAACTGAGGAAAGTTAGGGATTATCTTGCATTTCTTGGGTTGTTCCACATAAAGCATTGTTGACGTCTATTTAAACCAGTTATCAATGAAGCAACCGAAACTGCAAGTCATAGACATCTTTTAATGTTCCCACCTTAATGGATCAAAAGGTATATGTTTGGTTTGACAAGTGGACAGAAGGATCATTCTTAAAAGGATCGCTTAATTTACACCATAACGTTTTTGTTTGACTAGCTATAGTTCTTGGAAATGTGTTTGTTTTGCCACTATTCAAATTTAAACCTGCTGCAATATGATGTAATATTAAGCAGCATTTCCATTAAACAAAATACAGATGATTTATGATAAAATTGCTCATGTTAAATGAGGATTCTTTTTTTCATAATTAATTTTGGTCTTTTTTCAAACAGATAGGACAGTAGAAATTACAGGAAGAGAAGTAGGTAGAGAGAGGAGAAGGCTGGGAAATGATGACAGGTCACTCTGCGCATACATGTCCGGTGCACCATCCACTATACCACAGGGCCGGACAAGACAGGATTCCTAGATCATGGCCATGGTAATCACTCAATGAGGTTTTGAGTATCTTTAGGTGCAGTGATGTTTGATTGTGACGAGGTGTTCTCCAGTGTTTCCAATGGTGAAGCCTGATGGAGAAAAGCTGGTGAACCCCTGATGGTAACCCTTTTTCTTGATTGACTCAAGACTCCCTCAAACAATGTCAGAAATGACCTCTCCCACATGGTACAGATTTCAATATTCAGTGTTTTTTATTTGTGTTATTGTTTTAGAGTTTTTTTTTATTTGCAGTAGCCGTTTTTGATTTGCAATATCGTTATGCAATTTGTGTTGTGCACTAATGGGCCACCGTAGGGCAAAGCCTCAGAGAATATTTTGTAAACTTGAAAATTACTAAACACTAAAATTGTCACATTTTGTTACTTTGGATGAACTTTAGAATATCTCACAAGTAGAGAGGTGGCATTCTTTAATGGTGCCACCCTGAGAATGGCCCACTCTGTCACAAATGCAGTCTGTGTGCAGTGTTTATTATTTACACTTTATCAGTTTTACTTCTTACAAATGTAAAGAAAATGCTATAAATGCACACTGGAAGATAGATTTACAGTTAGAGATGGATGTATTGACTTTGGCCGGGGCGTAATAACTGAATAGCCACATAAAGAGCAATACATCACCCAGGGAAATTAATTGATACGGGACACTTTAATGATCCTGCTTGTCAGCAATTATGTGCAATGTCACAATATTGTCAATTTATGAGTCGTATATGATGATTTCCTGTCATATAATCAATATTTTATTTAGCTGAAAGTTCTATGAAACATTAAAATGTCTATTGTACAAAGCAAGCCTCTGTAAAAAATTATTGCAAGTGTAGATATTAGTAAACTTCTAATGGAATTGATCAAAATACTTCTTAGTCAGGTACTGCTGGTTACCACCCCGATAACCATTTAGTCGATATTAACTACTGCAGTGCAGTGGGTTATAAAACTCAGAGCATATCTTAGCAGCTGTGCAATAACCCTGTCAAGCACAACTCGTGTTTACAGTAGTTGCTCCTTAAAAACTGATAAACTATCAGTTTGTAAATCTATGTGAACTCCTCCCGTTCTCAAACACAAATACGATGAGTTCAAAAGTGCAAGATTTGTCACTTTTACAGAAGACGTGAGCAGGGTTTTACTGGTTAATAAATCACAAACGCCAGATAAAGACATTTGCTCAGGTATGAGATGTGAAACTTTTTTTTTTTTGCTAGATTTACATCATTAAACTCCTGACCTTATGCAACTGTTTGGTCACGTTTGAGCCTGCCAGAAAGTTTAGCTATCCAGTGACGTGTGGATTTAGAAAGTCTCTTTTTTCATTCATAATTATTTCCCCATCTTAGCAATTTATTTCATTATATTTATATATTGAGGTGGTGCACAGATAACAATTCCATCACAATATTTCAAGTAATAAAAGATTGTCTGCAAATATTAAAAAAAAGATATATTTTAAACAGTAAAAATGGAAGGTGTTTTTCAGGAGATGCTCAGGAAACTTCATCATTCGAAGCTGAGAAACATTGCTCTTTAGTTGACTCTAGAAGTCTTCCTCAGTCTTCACCGCCTTGTCTTCACTTCACCAGGTGAGTGAAATACTTCAACTTAAGACACCATGGTTAGAAAGAAATACACCCGCATTGTTGAGTGGTTGATTATCATGTTCACTTTAAATAAGGTCTTCCTGCAACCCTGCAACACTGTCAGTTTGTTCTGCTGCTAAAGCTAAATTTATCTTCCCCCAAGGTACCACCAGCCCGAATGCCCTTTACTCAACTGAAATATTGGGAAAGTCTCTTTTTCTGTACACAGAAGTAAATCCGTGGTAAATTAAACCACTGATTTTACATTGGAACTGTCCTGTGAAAGTGCAGTCCATCGCAACAGACTCACAAATCCATCAGTGATCACATCCACATTTGCACTATGTATTATTACATCGCTGTTAACAAAATGGTAAAAACTAAAGAGCCCTACTGTGGTTTGAATTAACAGCATGTTACTGTTTATTTATTATTTTTTTATTTATTGTTTGCCTTACGGTAAAACAGTTAAATTTCAGCACATACTGTTGTTGCCAACTACTGACACTCAAGTGAACAAGTCTTCCTATACAGCTGGAGAAATACTGCAACTTGCTGTTAATAGATTGAAATTCATCAGTAATTTGTTTCGCAGTTAAATTTTGCTGTTAAGTTTCCATGTAAAGTTACAGGAATTTTGTGCAGTGTAAAAATGCCTTATTTACCCTCATCAAACAGCATCAACAACCTTCCTCTCAGTGAGTAGGTTGCTGGGTGGAGTTGGCCTGTTATCCAAAAACATGCATATGGTCAATTGAATACTCTAAATTTTCACTTAGAAGTGAAAGCGTGTTTGCTTTGCGATGGACTAGTGATCTATGCAGGGTGTACCCCTGGCTTTTTCCAACTGTGCTCTAGAGATAGAACCCCTTGACCCTGACAGATTGCAAAGTTGAAAAAATGAGGTTAAAACTTCATAAAATGTGTTCTGCAATAAAGAAATCAAGGAGAATGCACACTTTACCCACCGTAAGTGTCTGGAATCCAGTCAAATCACTGCAGTGCAACCAAACTCCATCTGAAACACCTGCATCCACTCCTGCAATCACATTATCACCTCCTCGACTCACTCCCTTTATAAGACTCACTCTTTCATTTCCTCCTTGTCCAATCTACCTTTCACCCTGGCACCGACTGAACACTGGTTCTTGCTGGATCTGGTACTTGCCTCCTGTTTGGGTTACACCTCTGAAGCATCCACAGCCCCAGTCACAGGAACTGAAACAAATCACTACACAATAATAAATTACCCACGTGGCCAATCATTAGACATCTGATATTCTCCTTTTGACAGGTCATATACTGTATATGAATCTGCTTTCTCCTTAAGATTTGGCTTCTAGTTCCAGCTTCCTTCAATCTTGGATGATGCCAGGACAAAGAAATATATACAGGAGTATTGCAGACTGCCCAAAGAAACACACTGTTTCTGTTCTCACCTGTCCTGTACATAAACCTGCTTTCCTGTGGCTCAGTTGGCCGAGCATAGCGCTAACAACACAAACGTTGTGGGTTCAAATTCCAGGGAAAGAAGGAACTGACAAAAAATGTGTTCATTTATTCAAAATGTTAGTCGCTTTGGATAAAAGCGTCTACCAACCTGGTAATTAAATAGTCACAGTCATCATAGACGTCTCCCTGCAGCCCTGATATGTTAGCTACTACAGAACGTAGATTAACGATTCATTGTGTGGTGAAGAGGCCTCTGTCAACATTGGAGGCAATAGGACAAATTGGTAAATAAATTGTACGCCAGTAGAAGTGATGAGGCAATCATTGATAGTTCTCAATACAGAGGAAAAGTTCAATTCATCAAAGCTTCCCTTTGTTCCAATTTGATTATTTTTGATGTTCAGCGTGAAGTTGGTGGACGTTCAGGGCATATTTTTTCGGCTCCAGTTGTGATCACTTCTGAGAATGTGCAACTTCTTTCTATCTGTCCTGTCAGCTCTCTAATTCAGCGCATGGTTCAATGGCAGGAAGAAATGATGCATGTCAATGCATATCTTTGATGTTTGAGCACTTAAAATAAATGTTAAGCATCATTGTTGCATTCTGCATTGTAGGGTGGAATCAAAATATTTTAAAAGTGGAAGTAACACAATAATGTTTAAAGGCAAAAGTAACAGTTTTTGGAGAAGAACTGTCTCTTCAAGTAGGACAGCATGAACAAATCAAGACACGTATCTCGGTAAACGACTCAGGCCTGCGGAAGCTGTGGTCAGTGCCAGGCCTGAGGTAACGGCCTCAAACAAGGCTTCCTCTGTCCGCTCAAATGCTGTCCTGGAGCAAAACTGGCATTTCATCAGAGTCTCGCTTTCAATGACAAGTCTTTCTTCCTCCGAAGCCAAAGAAACCCCTCCCCCCACTCTCCCACAGCCCCTAACCTCAGCAAACGCTTCTGTTTTGACACAGATTACAACTTTGCATCTTGGTTTGTGCATTCCCGTCCTTCTGACAGCCTTATCACATTCAGCTTCCCAAATAATTGCAAAAAATATCTTATTTCCTCTCGTTGAGCTGTCTGTATTTCTCACTTGCAGCTAGTTTCTTTTGTCTGGTGTTCAATCTTAAGAGCGCACTCTGGAATTGGAACGTTTTTGGACAAACTCGAATTCTGAAAACATTTTCAAACGGACAGAAGTACAATAGTACACATTTGCATGCCTTACTTTGCATGTGAAACTTTTTATTTTCCTGTAAATCATGACCGGCCTCACAGTTTTTAACAAGAAAGGGCCTGTTTGAATGTCAGGGTTTGAAAATAATTTAAAGATATCTTTGAATATTTTTCAGTTTAAGGGGAATCCAGACATCAGTAGTGAATTGCAGCAGAAGAAAGTTCAAGGTACTTCATGTTTGGACATTAAGTTGACCAGCTATTGACATCAAGGAACTTTTTTTAACAATTAAAACTTTGAAATGTGAAAGTGATTTAATAGCGTCACACAAAGTTTTTACAAAATACAGGTTAAAACTCACGATTCAAAATATATCACAATGTAATGTCCACGTTATGATATAATTCCACAACATTAATTGTGACAATTTTGTATTGTGATGTATTATTCCATGATATATTGTTATACCCCTAGTCAAAACGGTAAAAGTGTCATTACTATCTTGTTTACGGACCATTAGTAACAGCGACTGGAAGTTCTTCTGGCCTGCAGGTTATGATGTATGACTCTTATTGCTTTCCAATACCCTTTTTAAAAATTCCTATGTTTTGCTTTCTTATGTTTAATAAAAACACAGCTTAAGTTTCCTTCCTGACCGAGTGGGACAATTTACAAAAGTATCTCCGCAATGGATAGGGGTGTCTCACATCACTTGGCCAGTTATTATTCTGTCTCTCAGCATCGAAATAAACCTATCCTCATTATATTTCTGCACGAATCATTACTTTGTCTGTAGCCAATCTTACAAAATGAAATGAGGGTCAAATTATTTCCAAATACACAGCCAAATATAAACAGTTAATGCAGTCTATTTCTAAGCTGAGTGATACAATACATTTTAATAAACAATAAACACAACAAAAAGACATGCATAAATGTGTTACAGATAGTTTTGACACAAGAGGTTGTTTGGAAGGTGGTGGAGTCATGCTCTAATGTATTATGTATGATCAATACTTCGCGACCATGCGGGTCAAATAGTCCCTGAATATACATCTCTTTAATTAAAGCATATCTCTTAAATATTGACTCAAATGCATTGAAATGTCTCATGGTGCAGATTAGCGAGTCTGAGTATCTACTTCAATGGGTTAAGGTTATGTTTTCAAGAACCTCTTTGGGACCATATTTCTAAGATGCAATTAAACCATTCTCAAGGATTTGCAACGCTAGAAGAGCATTAGGCGATTAAAAATCCTAATATGCCCAAGAAATACTCCTCTTTGAACTAGGAATGTGTTTTGCCTGGGAATATATGATTATACTTTGAGTCGCGCGATGGCACAAATCTTTCAGAAATTGCAGTGCTCTTAACCACGCGTAAACAAAAAAATCCATACTTTTAAGCAAAACCCCATCTCTCATCTGTTTGGATTAGATGAAAAGAGAAGAATGTCAGCTGGCTTTTATGTCAGCCGACGACTTTTCTGGCTTCATTTAGCCTCGTGTAGCAAAATTGCTACTTAAAACATGAAGCAACTGAGTTCGCTGCAGACATAATTGAAGCGTTTGCTGAATCTCTGGGGCGTTTAAAATGCAGGGAATTAATGAAGGCAATGCATTTTTTTGGTGTGGGGGGTTGGGGGCTCTCTCCACCTACCTGCATGACATTGCAAGCCGTTTTCATATGGAAATGGAGCCTTGTGTTTCTATTGAACGCTATTCGGGATGTGGAACGGGGGTCTGGATGTATGTTTAATGAAGCAGCAGTTATCTCCCAACCTGCTCTGCTGGCTCTAATCCTGCCATTCATGGCTAATACACTGAGGAAAGCTTAGCCTTAATGGAAAATGTATATGTTTATAAATATCACACTCTTGTTTGTTCACACAGGAATCCATCTCAATTCTATCCATCACCCAGACTCATTGAGTGCTCGGGATTCTGGATTCCTCGCAATTAATTTGAACTGTGGGTTCGTTTGAACTGCCGTCAGAGACTTTGATAAGAAACATTTACCCACTCTGTGAATGCAAAGAGAGCAACACCCATTTTCCTCCGGGCCTTATCGACAGAAAATGCAAACACGTCACCTGGAAGAATGAGACACTTCCCAGACAAATGAGCTGATAGCATTGGAGGGGTCAGGATGAAAAGATTGAGGAGTTATTTTTCATTGAACCCTGATTTGTTTTTCTGCAAGGCATAACACTCATGTTTTGCACAAATAAGTCTATTGTAGTTTCAACAGTCCACAGCACCATATTTCAAAACGAAACTGATGAGATGCAAAGTAATGATGTGTGTCTTTGGAGCTGGTTTGTAGGTTGACCGTGCCTCTGCTTATCTGAGTTTTTTTTTTTGTCTGCCACTTAACTAGAGCGGTGCTTTTGGTCTTCCAATTCCTCACAATGTTCCTCACGGTTGAAAGCTGAGAGCTTTCTGTATTCTTCCCCGAAACCGGGATGTTCAACAATTGTCAAACATTGTTTTCAACTCATCTGAGAGTTGTTTTGAGTCTCCCAAGTTGTCACTTTTTAGAGAACATGGAGAAGCACTTGCATTGACCTCCTTTAAACTCTATCTCACTATTGGATTCACCCGAGTACGGAGTTCAAGCTTCAATGATGTTTCCAAACCAATTTGGAGTTCTAAAAATTAGTAGAAAAGCTATGGAATCAATACATTGCCAATTTTAAAAATCATAGTAACTTTATTTCGCTTCTAAGAAGTTTGCCTTCTGTATGATATATTTAACGAAAATGTCTTGTCTAGATAATCAATGATTTATAAAGGAAAATCCTGAAACTTTACCAAGGTGCCCAAACTTTTGATAACACTGTCTATTACTATTCCGTTCACAAATTCAGTTTTATTGCCCACTTACAGTTTAAATATTGACAAACAAATGCTTAGATTTTTATTTCAGTTTTTTAAAAGGTTGTGTGTTTTTTGGGAGGTTTTTAAAAGGCAATGTTTTTTGGGAGGGGTTTATCTGGATGTGACTTTAAATATGCTATTATCAAAGCTGGTCCCATCCTTCTCCCCTTTTGACTCAGTCCGAACCAGTTTCTCACTCCCACATTCCACCCCTTCACCACTCACAGGGGGGCGTCTGCAAGACAGATAGCTTTCATGTTCATACCGGCCACTCAAGCTCATAAACTTAGGACAGTTCCAGATAAACCAGTTTTGATTGAATAGCATTACACATATTACATAGTGGCCAAATTATAAGTATCCTAACACAATTGGCATTTTGAAATTTTGGAATCAGAACAATATATGGCATTGGTATTAAATGTAACGTGGGAACACTACCATTAGCCATTCATACCAAAAGGTTACTTATGTCCCTATTTCTATGCAAAATTAAGGAAATCACAGGGATGGCATGCCATCTACAGCCAGAAAGACCCAAAGTTGGGTTCCAACCAACTATTTAGCTAATTCACAGAACCATGAAGCCAAGTTTAAAATTATCATCAATTTTAATTCTGAGTCACTTTTTGGTGTTGAATGAGTGACAGTTTCTTCATTTTCCAATGACAAGGTTGTGCAGCTCCAGACTAGAGGCTGCTAAGCTCTTAGGAAGGAGTCGGAATCCAAAAGGGATCAGTGCAGATTGGAGATCTGTGCTGGCAATATTAATGTGCTTAAAGTACAGAGGAGTATCCTTCTGAGGAGTAGAGAGTAAGAAGGTTTAAAAATATCAGTAAAGGATGAGACACTTAAGTATGTGAGAACCACACTATGTCCTGAGATCGGACGCGTCTGGCAGAAAACTTGAACGGTAGGATGATGACACTGTGTAATGCTGGAGAATGTAGACAGTAGGTCAAGTCAGTTTGATTTCAATACTGTAAATGGTGTGACGGCTGCTCTATGGATAGGAGGGTGGATGAACAGGT